GAGTGATCCGAGCCTAGCTGGAGCCCTCTACGACGAGGGTCCATCGGAGAGAGGAACAAGTCCTCCTGGGAGCTTTCTCTCCGTCGTGATGCTCCACCTCATTTCTCCAAGGCGCTCTTGTGGCCTTGGCCTTGTGGCTTCAGGAAGCGCTGGACCGCTAGCCCCAAGGTTGATGTTCCGCAGAAGACCTGGTGATCTGACCCAGTAAAGACGAAACTCCCAACGAAACCCACTGTGGTCAAGTCGGTTCTGACGCATAGTGACCCTACAGGGCAGAGTAGAACTGCCCCATAGAGTTTAGGAGGCAGGTTGCCACACCTCTGTCCCTTGGATGGGATGGTGGCTCTTCCTACCATTGTTTAACCCTCTGCTCCACTGGAAAACCGCGGGAGGCAGCTCTGTCCCGTGGACTGCTATGAGCCAGGTGGAACGGTAAGGCACACAGAGGGAACTGACTACTTAAATGATGGACGGGAGTTCTGGTGGGCTGCAAATTGTGCTGCCAACCGTCTGATCCCGTCAAGTTCTCTTCTTGAAGTCTTGGAAACTCAAAGGGGCAGTTGTCCTTTGCCCTGTAGGGTCCCTGTGAGTGAGAATTGATTGCACGGCAGGGAATTTGGTGAGTTTTGGTAACAGGATGGAGCAGGAGAAACAGGAGGCTATCTACCCTGTAAGAGCTACAGTTTCCGCAGCACTTTATAGGGTCGATATGACTTGAGTTGGCGTGGACTCAGTGGGAGTGGTTTTGGCTTAACTGGTGTGCAATTGGTTAATGGACTAGGCTGCTAACCAAAATATTGGAGATAGCCTGTTGGTTGACCCAAAGCCTAGGAAGTACAGTTTTATTCTAACATACATAGGGTCACCCAGCATGTTGAAATACAAGCAGATGTTAGTGATAATTTTGAAAAACGAAAAATGAATACTTTAATTTTTTAAAACCTTAAGTTCACTGCCATCGAGTTCATCATGACCCATAGCTGCTCTATAAAAACCCAAACCAAACTTACTGCCATAGAGTTGATGCCAACTCATACTGACCCTAGACAAAGGAGAGAACTGTCCCTATGAGCTTTTCAGACTGTAACTATTTATGGGAGCAGAAATTCCTGTCTTTCTCCCAGGGAATAACTGGTGGTTTTGAACTGTTGACCTTGTGGTTAGCAGCCTAATGTATAACTACTATGCCACCAGGGCTACATATCCTATCCCTATAGGATAGAGTACCCACCCTCAGAAGAATATACCTCAGAGGACAGCACTGGGGCTACAGCTTGGGGAGAGGGGCACGTCTGATTAGAGCACATGGGAGAAACACAAAGGGATGGAGAGGGAGGAGAAGGCATCCTGGCCCACCAAGCCCTGAGGACGATGTTCCTGCTTAGAGCAGACAATGCATGGGGAGGACCATTGGGCTGGCCCCACCACGGGACATGGTGTCCCTTGCTGAGTCATGACACTGGGGGGGACAGCACTGGCGACACAGTGTGGAACTAGTGCACTGTCTGGCCCCATCATGCTGGGGCAAAGCAATGAGGGCATGCGGCAGAGGTGATAAAGCCCCTAGGGAATACCAAAAATAGACATTGGAGACAGAGTGTGGTATTCCACCAGACTTAACTGAAAACACTCATAAAGGCCAACAAACAGACCTTGAATTATTTATAGGCTTTTCCATTTTTGTCAGTGGCTTTCTTTTTGTTATTGTTATTTTGATCTTGCTTTCTGCTGTTGTTGTTATTGTTTTGTTGGGGTTTTTTTTACTTCCTTTGTTGTTTTATTTGGCTTTGCCTGGTATTTGCACTTACTAATGTATCTGCATGTCTATCTAGATAAGATAGGC